CTAGCTAGCCTACTAGCCCTAAGTAGGCGAGGTAGACTATAGGTCTAGCTAAGGAGCTAGACTTAAGCTCTTAGCTACTAGATGTTCTAAAATAGGTGAATTCTTATTAAATTTACTTAAGGGAAAATTCCTCGGCTATATAGTTCTGCCTAAGTCACGTGGCTACTTGAGCCTCAGGCATACATGCTCAGTTCTCAAGTGGAGACTTTGAGAACATAGCAAGAGGAGAAGCTCCTCCATGCTTCTTACCTCTTTGCACTCTATTCCTGAAGTACAAGGTTATTTTCATCGCCCATAATCCTATGGATAGTGACGACAGCTCTAAATGCCAACTTCCCATAGTCATCTACTGGCAACCCGATGGTGTACGGCAGAACATTGCAGCATCCTTTCAGAACTATGTTGGACGCATGGAGGATGGTCGGACTGTAGGCAAACTCCCCCGCGAACGGCCTACTTACACGATATACGAACATCGTTTATGCCACGCAGATCTCAAACTTCCGGACATCGCTAATTCTTTTGCCTACAACCCACAGGTTCTGAAGTATCCGCTCATTAATACAGAGGAAGCTTTGCAGTGTCTTCGCGCAGAAGGAGACCGCTATGTTCGTCTCGGGACTCACGAGAACCTAGTAACGTACAAGGGGTTCAATGGGAGCGGGCTGCTCCTTGAGTATTGCGAACAAGGAGGCTTACATGATGTGCTCGGAGGAGGATCTCTCGAATTGACCGATTCCCAGAAAGCGACCATTGGACAACAAATCGTTCGGTGCCTGATTCATCTCCACGACCATAACTTTATCCACTGCGATATCCATGCTCGTAACGTCTTCTTGACCTCTGGGCTGGTTGCAAAGATCGGAGATCTGCAAGGCCAATTATCGAGACCTGACGGCACCATCGAAATGGAGACTATGTCACAGGAGAATGCGAAATCGCGCCACCCACTCGCAGGCAAGGACGAATTCTCATGGAGAACAGATATCTTTGCCCTGGGAACACTTCTTTACCACCTCTGGCACGGGCATCTACCGTTTCCAGAACTGGATGAATTCGATGACGAGGACTTAATCCAAGCAAGATATCGGACAGGGCAATACCCTATCGACATGACCTCTGTGACAGATATCGACAGGGTAATTGGTAAATGCTGGAGTTCGAGATACGAAAGTATGAGAGAGGTTCTTAATGATATGCAAGACCTGAGTTTGGGATAGAAATTCAGGACGCTGTGAGCTTTGGTTTTCACATGAGTGAGCAAAATTCTGATCAACACTGGCGGTTGGGCCACAAATTTGAGTGCATGCACCAGCAAAAAACATCTGTCCGGGATCGAACAATACCATACAGAGATTGATGGCAAGATTTCAAGACCTCGCCTCATGGACAGCATGCTGCACGGCAAAAAGACAAAAAGAAAGGTCATATGATGAACATTTATGATTTCATCCAGGCTGTGAATGATGTTAGTCGACGAACGCAGGTCAAGGGCGAATGATCATTACGAACCTCGAACTGGAGACCTTCAGTGTGTTAGACTGACGTGATAACCACTGCAACATTGTTAGGAATGCCGCATGGAGTGGTCGGGTGGAGGATCTTACACTACACCATGAAACCGTCATGTGATCACATTGAGCTTCTTCGAATAAGCAATATATAGAGCAAACATACCGGCCGAGGTTAGGCCGTGGAAGAATCTTCTTCCATTGCCCCTTTTGTCAAATCACTTGACTCCCCAGCCTAGCATTACGATCCTATACCTGACGTCGTGGTATTGGTATTTACACGACGTAAGCACAGCTAGTCATATCTTACGCCGACTTCCATGGAGCATACCAAACCCCAACAGGAATCGTGAACGCCATATCAAGCCCTCGTTCGAAACCAAATACACAGGATTTGCTTCAACGAACAAGTCAGTGCAGCTATCTCGGACTTGCTGCACTTCACTATGCGCTCCGGGCGGCGTGCACGAGCGGGATTGAAAGAGAAGCCAAGCAATCTCGACGACTTTTGTACATTACTTTCCTTTGCACTTCTTCTTGCTTTCTGATCTATGCTGACAACAGAGCAGCATCTCGCTAACAACTCAATAGCATTCACAAGTCAGCCTCCAAAGCTTGTGGTTTACGTACGATATGCATGTTTTGTGTCGGTTCTCATCAATTTATCCGTGGATACCTACAACTTACCAGCTTTCTCGTGACATACCTAGGCTTTGGGTTCCAGAGCTTGTAGCTTCGCTATCGACTTGTAGACATGCTTGAAGTGAACTTGACCGTATCGCCTTGCGATACGATTAAAGGAGTCAGGTTTTAGTTGGATTGAAATGATCGAAGTTCGTCTGCGACATTCAAATTGTGTTCACGCTCTGCCACTTCGAGCGCAGTGTTCCCGCGTGAATCACGAATCGATGGGTCAGCGCCGCTCGCGATCAGAGTTCGAACAGCGCTCAATTGTCCCACTTTCGCAGCCTCGTGAAGTGCAGTGCCCAAGCCTACAACCCTGCGCACCTCATATGAGAAGACATGGTCTTGGTACATTATGGCATTAATATCGTTCTGGTGGCATTTTTGAAGGACCAGGCGGAAAATCGCGTCGTAGTCTTCTGGTATGTTCCGCCCGGCTGCCAAATGGAGGAGTTGACCTCGAAAGCTTGTAGTGGGAGGACAGTGTGTGAGCAATTGCTCAACTACTGAGTATCTTCCTTCCGCGACAGCAGTGGACAGAGGTGTGATGTCCATCTGGCAGGTTGCGTTTGGATCAGCTCCATTGCTTAGGAACCAAGCAATAAGAGCCTCGGATACATTCGCGAATATGGCAAATCTGAAGCACTTCATAAGCCAAAGCGTTATCGAAAATGCTTCGAACATACGATAGGAGTGGAGGAATGCACCACGCTTCTTCCTCATTGATGTTCCACCCATGCTTGAGGAACAGTGAGAGCAGCTGAAAAGACTCCTTTGTAATAGCGGCCTTTATAGCCCCAAGACTCACAGGCACGCCCACAGACAGAAGCATTTGCACCAAGTCCCCTCGACCAGCTTGGGCAGCTCTTGTCAAGCAGATCTGGATATCTTGGGGATTTGTGCCAGCTTGCAGCAGCTTTTGTATGCCTGCAGACGCACAGTCTGAATCGCCTGCCATACACATGGCTTCGATAACCCTGATGTCAGGGTCGGCGGACACAGGAAGCTGCGTTTCCACGCCAACGAATGACGGCGGTTCCCCAATGGGTTCAAACACTGGCAGCTCTCCTACTGGTGAATCGGTAGAGAATAATACGCGTTGCATCTCCGCATCATCGATAGCGAGTGATGTATTCATCGGAGTGGCGATGAGATATTTGTTATCCATGTCGGGGTGAGGATGGAGGAAGATTAAAACCGATTCGATGGGGACAAGGCAAGCTAGGTATACGTTCTACTAACAACATCGATATTGCGATGACCCTAACCCTAACCCTTCCAAGAGGTTAGGGTTCGAGGTATCGACATCATCGTCCTTTTCGATCACTACGGGGAAAAGCCATATATATTAGGTAATGTTGCAGTTAGAACATAGGCTATAGGCTATAGGCCAAATTTTGGCAAGCAGCAATGTTTAGCCAACGATGAAGCCTTAGAGACCCCACATGTGCTGTTGATGCTGGTGTTACAGGGGGAATATGAGCCAAGATTCCGGCTTGAGGTGAGATGATGACGATTCCAATACAGGCGTTCAGGTATCCGGTCGCCAGGTATTCCGGGACTGWCTCTGGCGGCCAGAAGGCACCTCCGACGCAGTCGATGGAAAAGCGAGCTAGACGAAATGAACATGATATCCGCGACTTCGTCGCTGCGTAGTCCTAGTTTGGAAATCGCTGGGCAGTATTCTGAAGCTCTTTGAGAAATAATCCCCTGAATTACATGCACTTTTTGCTTGAGTGGGAGGCCATGCCAAACTGAGCTTAATTGTGAGCCCTTTGCCTCTTCATGAGAATATACTTTTTTGACTCCACATCACCTTTCGCTCAGCATTTCTCCTTATCCAGATGCATGACTATTCGTAATGACTTGTTGCCTCCTTTCTACATGGTTCTCCTCTACTTACAATTCATTAAGCGTTCACATGAAGAACATAATCACTGGAGAAACATCAGATGCACGATGTCGCTGTGTCCGATGGAGAAGGTTATGCCATGAGCTTATCCTCTGAACGAATGCGACAGAGACACATCCAACAACGTAGCTCCGACAATTCCACCTCTCCTCCCACAAAGTCTGCGGCGCTCATCGAAAAGTATCCCCATCATTCATATCCTCTCCCCGAATACACCCCCCACTGCCCATCATCGCCCAATCTGAACGTCCAATCCTTCTCCCCTTTCATCAGCACATCTTTGAAACCATAGTCCTCCCCCGCTTCCTTCTCCTTGACCTTGGGTGCCAAATCACGAATAGCCTTCTTGTAGAATTCAGTCATTTCTTCCTCCGGAATACTGTTCCACAGGTTGAAACTAAGGAGATCCGCCGCGTCGGCTCCACGATACTCCAACAAAGTCAGCTTATTCTCATAAACGTCAACCACGAAACCATGTGCTGCTGCAGCCGTAACATCTCCCCCTCCACTGTGAGTAAGATTGAAAAACTCATTGACAGCTTCAACAATGTAGTGCCCCGTAGTGTACTTAGCAACTCCCCCCTGGTGAGTCTGACGATAAGGACAAATAACAACAGCTCCCACTTTACCAGCTTTGGCGCCATAATCCCCATTCGCAAGCTCAGGGACCCGCTCCTCCAGAATCTTCTTCGTGAATTCCTTAAGTGCAGGTCCCTGAACCTCTTTCGAAGGAAGCCAGTCCGATTCACGCGCTTCACCCTTTTCGTTCTGCTCAAACGTGACGTGAGCGTCGATGTGCGCGATGAAGCATTTCTTGTCTGAGAGTGGAATGTACACGCAAACGCAAGTCCGACAGCTATGCGTGCCGATTCGGGTGAGTGGGGGAGTGAAGTTGAGGAAGGGGGCTTTGAAGCAGCCGCCTTGGCCTTGTCTGAGATGGAGGTGTTCGATCATGTTGGGTTGAGGTAATGAGACTTTGCTTCTCCGGGGGATTCGCTGCCATCTTGTACTTCTTCTCCCAACGAGGCAAGCAATCTTTGGAATAGAGAAKAACTGTCATAGCGATTGCTCGTCTCTAAGGTGTCAAAGAATAGATAGCTGTAGATGCCAGGCCAAGAACTAGGTCTCGCAAAGAGCAGGTCTCACAAAGCAATGGTGTTTGCAATGAGACAAGAAGATTGGGCTATTCGTTTTGCGGAAGTTTCTTTGCAGCTCTCGAAGTCCACTTAGATGCCAAGCAGATCGAGCGCTAACAAATGTGAGGAGGGACACGGCATCCTCACATTCGAAATTTGCACATTTAGGCAAATATGTGCATATGGAGCGAAGAGACGTACCTAGGTAGCTAGCCATCGACAAGCACCGCTTAATCCTCTCTAACGACCTCTCCACTTTTGATCAAGTCATCCAGTAACCATTCATCCCAGTACAGACTTTCGCAGTCTTCGCGGGCTTTCGGATCCCATTGCAGCATCTTCCGCATAAAATCAATGAAGCACTTTTTCTCTTCGCCCTGGGTTTTTTGGTCCAATCGCTCCWGATTCCGATCCGGGATTGGGACCACACCTCTCCAAGTGCCTGCTTTCCAGCGTTAGAGAGTAATGACAGCTTTCAACTCGAGCAATAAGCAATGCAAACGTGATAAAACTAACCATGGGTATCCCAGTACTTGTCTGCTTTCTCGCCACACTGCCGTAGGAATTCCAATGGAGGTGGGCCCATGATGGCTATCATTTCTGCAAGGTGATGGGCCTCGGAATATCGTCCTTCTGAATCCTTAGGCACGAACAGACGGTCTGGCTGGAACAGATCCCATAGCTATCGCGAAAGTGATCATCGTTAGTCCTGAGTGTAGAGAGTGTGGTAGCCCAAGTCCATCTTAAAACTCACCACCATTGCAAATCCCCATATATCGACTGGATAGCTCCAAGGAAGCCCTAGTATGACTTCGGGTGCGCGATAGACATTAGGCATAATTCGATCCGTGTGTGTACAATCTCCGAATCTGCCTTCGCTCAGATCTGTTATCGACGGCTCTCCCTTTGTGAGCGGCATTGGTCTTGACATATAGATGGTGCGATCCTCGAGCTCTTTCCGTGGGCATGGGTGCTCCTGTTCGTTCTTTTCAAACTGGGCAAGTACGGAATCGTCGTGGATGCCGAGGAGCATGTTTGAGGGCTGAAGGTCTTTCATGCGTTAGTGGCAAACGCAGAAGCCGAAGCCAAGATAATTCCGGGACAGCTCACCGGTGTGGATTATTCTCGCTTCTTTGTGTAGGAATTGGAGGCCTGTAAGAATGCACCGTAATGCCTGCCGGACAAGTTCAGGGCTGAAACGTCCTTCTGAAGTCATCTCTCGCAGCTCGCCAAGACTCATTCCGAGCGGTTGATGTACGAGGCAGATGTGAGTGCCGTGCGGTCCCTTGAGTTCGAAAGAGTCGTACATCTTCCGCACATGATTTCGTCCTTGGTGGGAAGACTGTAGATTGTTGATCTCCTCATAGATGGGAAGTTCTCGATGGTATTTGGAGCAGTTGATGTACACCTTGACCGCGACATAGTCGTACTGTTTTTGAAGATCTTTACACAGCCAGACAGTTGATGCAGATCCAAAACCAAGCTTGCCGATGGTTCTGTAGCGGCCGTAGAGTGCCTCACCCAACTTGACAGGATAATAGTGCTTGGGCTTGTAGCCACTCAACGTCTCTTCTTCAAAGAGGTATGAAGGGTCTACTCGGTCAAAATGGGACGGCTTGTCCATACTCTCTCGCCCGTTTGACATGCCTGTCGGCGGGTTCGGCGCAGTCGTCTGATGTCGATGTCTGGTATGAAGGGTGGGTGAAAGCGAGCGAGCAAAGCTGATGCGTGAGTTCAATAGACGCACATTCTGGTATCGCACCGCGTACATTGGATGAAGCACACGGCGTCCAGCTGAGGACCGGCATGCACCCAATTTCGTAAGCTACGAAGCTGTCACCGTGTCAAGCGCCTGGGTTAGCTCTACGGAAGGAGCAGGCGCGCGCCTCGTTGCGGCCTCTGGAGGTTGACGCCCTATCGTCTAGAGAGCGCGAGCCAAGTCGCGACCTGGACTCGTTGTCCGCCGACTGAAGGAGATGCTGAAGTCTAACATATGTCTCGGATAGATCCGATAGTCTCAGAAGCACAGGCCCTCTGGCAAACGATGAAGAGCATGAGTCTTGGCAGTATGTGCTTTCTGAGACTACACCACCTCACCACCTCAACGACTGCGACGACGCGATCTGGCAGTTCAGACGAAAGTTCCCCTGCAAGATACTCCGCTGCTACGTACTAGATTCGCATAGGGCATGGATCACCCATACTGCGCGTCGAAAAGAGCAGGCGGCGGCAGGGTGGAACGACATGGCAACACAGTCTCTTTCCCAAGACGCATTGCCTCAATCTCAAGCGTGCGATTCTTCAGAATAAAGACTCCTACACACGTCGTTAGCGCCCATGTATATCCCTTCCAAGATCTACATCACACCGTACACAAGAACGTAAGACATCGCCAAGACAAACAACCACCTCGATATTTCCCAGAGTCAGCTATACCCTCTTTTTCGCACTCCATACCTTCCGTTCGAAGCCCGTAGAAGTTAACAGTAAGGTAACACGGAGAGCAGATACTCACTATCAAGTGGAATGTAAAAGGTAACTTCCAGCATCGAGTAGAATCGCCCAAGTCGAAAAGTCGCTCGCTCTTAATCGCTTTCCCAGCAATACCTCTAGAACAACAGTCCAATGAGCACCGCAATAGCAGAGATTGACTCCAGCCTAAGGGGTTCAAGAAGAGAAAGGGGCGCAGAAGCAATCTCAGAACTGCGAGAGATATGCTCGAGCATTCCGACACCGGGAAGTTCGATGCCTGGAGGGATACTGATCAGGGCAGGCTGGCGCGTGAGGGAGCGGTTGGAAGGCGTGTCGCTCTCTTCGAATGATGTCGCTAGCTTGGACACTTCCATCGTGTCGGTTGAAGAGATGGACCGGTGGTGTCTGGTAGTGAAGTAGTCGGGGCCGAAGAGAGAGGGCACGTGGAATGGATTGGGTGGAACACTAATAACGCTTGGCATCTGACACAAACACCCTCTCACCAGCGGAATGTCATGCCGTGAATTACCTTTTCGTGCGACGACAAAGGTTGCGTGTACTGGTCACCCTCAGTACTGCCGGCCTTGATAATCTGACGCAGGAAGCCTTGTGAGCAGATCACGCCGAGTCGATGCGACAGACACGCCCTGTCGTACATGTTCATGAGACTAGGCCCCATCTTTCCCTCTCACTTAGATACTGCCGAGACAGCAGTCCAGTGGCAATCAGAGTAGCAATGAGACACACTCAATGAGAAGAGAGCAGTCAGGTAGTAGGAGCGAAGAGACAAACGAAATTTTGGAAAAGACTAAAAGAAACAACTCGCACAAACTACCTTCTCACACCTCGCTTTTCCCGCAGCGGCACTAGCTGCGTGCGCTCCTCACCTGTCATCCTCCATCTCGATGTCAGCGTCGAGGTGTGTTCAAGGACAGCCCTGTGTGCGAAGGCGGTGCGTAAATCTTCTCAACGCTACTGTCATTCTGCGGGGTTCGTTCGTATCCTGCTAGAGAATAGTCGGTCAACATCTATACGCAAGTCACATTGATGAACATCGCTTACAGTAATTCATAACGCCCAGCTGCTCATCCTCGTACTCCTCATCAATTGCTGGAGCTCCAGCTAGAACCTGCCTAGCATTGCCAGCAGGCTTCTTTCGCGAGCCACTCTGCCCGACACTACCGTCTCTCCGCTTACGCTTGGCGGGCACCGGGTACTGATATTCCTCATTGAGTGGAGGACGGACCTCCAGATGCTCGGGGAGAGTCCAGGTGGACCGAATCTGAGCGATTTCGTCCGCCGAGACAGGAATACGTTCCACATACTGGGAGTCCAGATACTCCCGATCGCTGACATGTTTCTTCGGAAAGTCCGCCTTGTATTGCTCGCCATGCGCCTCGCGAGCATGGCGCTTGAGCGCCTTGAAGTCCTTGAAGAGCTTCAAGTTTCCACGGTGCTGATTGGTGCCGCAGCCGACGACAAAGCAAGAGAGAGCCTCATACTGGCCGTTGATCTTGAAGATGTTGGGCGCCAAATTCGGCAGTGGCTGGGCGAAGCCGTGATTCTTCGGCGTCGACTGAGCTGTCTTGCGAACAGCTTTTGCTGGAGTTCGCGGTTCCGGCTCAGCACCGAGAGTACGCCGCCGCTCCTGCGAGCGAACTGGCCGTAATTCAGTGTCTTCAGGCTCCTGATAGTCTCCGGAATGTTCAGACTCTTCATCGTCTCCGGTGTCTTCGCGAGGGTCATCGTCTCCAGGGTCTTCGCGGGGTTGATCGTCTCCAGCGTCCCCACGCTCTTCATCGTCCTCAGAACCGACACTCGATGCCCGGGACCTGGGCAGAACCGTATCATTGGCTTCGCTTTTCATCTCCTATGGAAGTCAGTACTAGATATCAGGGGTTTCCAGCCTTCGCACTCACCCAGAGCACTTTCGTAGTCTCCTTGACTGTCTCCGTTGCTTCTTCGAGCTGCTCTTTCAACTCGTACACATTCAACTTCTGTTGCTCCCTCCTTTCCCATGTAGCCTCGTAGTCGCGCTCGTGGGCTTCTGCTTTCCGTGCAGTCAGAAGCTTTGTATTGTGCAGCTCTTTGGCCTCCGCGAGCTTCTCTTCCATCTCCTCTACTGCATCGCCCTGGGCGGTGGCCTCCTGTCGTGCTTTCYCTGCAGGAGCCTTACAGGCATTTCTGTCCGGGGTGTCGTTCATTGTAGCGGGTGGGAGTGTGGGTCTTCGATGCCGATGTTGCAGAGCCGAGGGTGAGGAGGAAGCTCGAATTCTCGTAGCGTAGTTGTGGAAGTGGGAGTGGGAGTGGGAGGAACAACCCGTGCCAAGACATATGTAAGATCAGAAAAGTGCTCTGACCAGCTGAAGATCCCTTTGATGAGGCCGCATGACTGGCAGACCACCTCTAAGAAGCAAGACGAAGCTCAACAGACAGAAAGCGTAGCGAAGAGCATCTTGGAACCGATGCCGTGGGTAGGCATGGTCCCGCAATACCGCTACACATGTAGCACGTTGGTAAACATCACAGCAGCGGGTGCTCCTGCGCATCGATTGCTGGAGCAGGAGGCTCGATCGTGTCCCGCAGCGACTCAAGGAACTGACTGGATAGTGCCCGATTGACAAGGAACAGAGTAGAGCTGAAAGTACTCGTTGGAGCCAAGCCTTGATCCAGCGCCTGCAATGTGCTTTGGTCCTCCAATCGAGCAGGCGAGTGGAGATGCAACGCCTGTACTGCAAGACTTACAAACAGCAAAGCGGCTTGAATGGATGCCTCGACCGACAAAGTACAGCCACGGATGAGATTACACCCGCGAGAAGCGGTCGGAAGCCTCCTGGATGTTCTCAGCGCCATAGTGGCGGATGCCTGTGTCGAGTGTGGCATGCCCAGAAGAATCGGGTAGAAATGGTGCTCCAAAGGCATTGTTGGCGTCCTCGAATAATCCAATACCAAGCCCAGTGTTCTCCGGTTGAAGCATGCTCCGGGTAGAGCGTGCCCTTTGATCAATGTGGCTTTCTTTGTTCTATTGCTGGGAGAAGGATCCTCTGCAGCACGAACGAAGCAATGCGCTCTTCTCAATGGTCCAAGAACTCAACATCTAGGGTATGAATCACAGCCCTGATGCTTGCTAGAATGGTAGCTCCATGATTTCTCTCACTCCGCCGTGCTTGAGCACATTTACGATGCTCTTGAGCTTTCCAGCGAGGGGCATAGGGAGGAAGAGAAAGAGAGAGGTCGCAAACCTTGCCAGCAATGGCGGGCACCATGGCCAATGAACTTGGATGTCAAGTTTTACACTTATACCCAGAGCAGCGCCTTCCTTTCCACGGCAAAAGACTCAAAGTTTAGATTGAGGTGCAAGACATGCAGCTCGGACTCCAGCCAGGTACCCGGGTTCAAGAACGAGGGAAAGACCAACCAAAGCCAGTCTTTAGCACCGCGCGGACCGCCGCTATGCCATTGGAATGCCGATGGTGTTCTTTTCTTCACGTCTGCGGTGTAAATAAGCATCTCCGGCCAAGAAGGTACCGTGGTCGTGGTCAAGCAGCTCAGGAACCTTGATCTGGCCAGATTCTTTAATGACGTGCAATCTCGGACACGCCGCCTGCCCGACTTGATACTCGATACTCCATCGGCGCAGTGGGTGGTTGAGGATGGTGAGATGAAGTGGGCGTTGAAAGCTGCAAGGATGTTTGATGCCCAGAGCTTTGACCATGCGTTCCTTGCAATGGCGGTCTTGGTATCGTCTTGGTGTTGCTTGGAAATGAAGTAAGCCTCCTGTCTTCCATCTCGACAGACATCACTCATCACCTGGATCCACTGCTACGCCAGCGCCGATGCTGCAGCTTGCCAATGAATGTACGCTTGCTCGTGTGACGTTTACGCCACCGGAGGATCGGCGTTGACCGAAGGCGAGGCCTCGATGATGATGACCGCGCATTTGTGCATCTCACCTCGAAATGCCGGCGAGGCTCTGGTAAAGTAACCTACTCGGTGGCCTCCGCTTCGAGCACCAGAAATAGAATAACCCGACTCGAGGGATGAGAAGGGGCAGGAGAAGAGACCCGACGGTTGAATTCATCGTCACCGTCTGTGCCTTCCTCGTTCCTCCCCCGCGGCCATAAACTTTCACGCCCACGTGCCTTGGCGTTCCTGAGCCCACTTTTTGATCTGCCCTGTTTCTTCTTCTGTTCTTTCAGCACAACGAAACAGCAAGAACGAACGATAGCGTTGAATACACACCATTACGAGGCCTCTTGATGGAATTCAAGCACGAGTTCTTCTGCCTTTTACAAAAAGACATTCGATAGGAGATTGATTACAGGAAAGAAGCATGTCCCAAGCCGCCGACTCGGCAACCCTTGCGCTGCTGGGAAAGAAACAAGTCTTGAAGCGTCGCTTTGGTCTTGGCACATTATTCGCTTTTGCAGTCTGCGAGCTCATCACATGGTATTGCCTCTCTCTCCAATCATGTACATCACACAATCGAAGCTAACTCCACAACAGGGAAACCGTCCTCGCAATCTTCTCCCAAGCCTTTGAAAATGGTGGCCCAGCAGGAGCAGTCTATGGATTCATCATCGCCTGGTCCTCGACGCTATCAGTCTACACGGTAATCTCAGAGTTGGCCAGCATGGCCCMTATCGCGGGAGGTCAATACTACTGGGTCTTCATAATGGCTCCTCCAAAATGGAAGACCGTCTGTAGCTATGTGGTTGGTTGGTTAACTACACTCGCCTGGATTGCTACGGTGGCCACCGAGACCCTCTTCGCCGGCACCATCATCCAAGGAATGCTGGTGATTGACTATCCTTACGAGGCCAAACTTTGGCAGGGCACATTACTGACTTGGGCGGTGATTTTGGGGTGTGTCTTTATCAATGTCGTGATTCCCAATTGGTTGCCCCGATTCGAGGCATTCATTCTAGTCTTCCATCTGGTGGGATTCGTTGCCATTCTTACTACACTGTGGGTCATGACCACCTCATATGGGTCCGCAGAAAGTGTATGGATGACTTCCTTGAATCAAGGCAATTGGCCTACTCAAGGCATCAGTTATTGCGTTGGATTTCTTGGCAATGTAGCGACGTTTGTTGGAGCTGATGCATCTGTTCACCTTGCGGAAGAGGTGGAGAATGCTGCCAAGAACATCCCGAGAGCTATCCTGGCTGCCATGCTCATCAATGGAGCGGTTGGGATGGCTATGATGGTGACCATTCTCTACTGCTTGGGAGACGTTGAAAGCGTGCTGGGAACCAAGACTGGCTTCCCATTTATCCAGATTTTCTTGAACAGTGTCAGAAACGTGGCAGGAACAACAGTAATGGTGGCCATCATCTGTGGATTAACATGGGCCTGCGCAATGGGCATCACCACAACGGCCTCGAGAATGACCTGGTCTTTCGCTCGGCAAGTTCCTCATCCCTTCCCAACACAAGAAATCTTCTAACTCCCCCAACAGTGACCGCGGTCTCCCCTTTTCCAAATACCTCAGCCGAGTGGATACTCGAACAAAAGTCCCCGTCATAGCCTGCTTAACGGCAACTTCAATCGCAGCACTCCTAACTCTCATCTACGTTGGATCAGCAACAGCATTCAGCGACGTCATCTCCCTGACCATCACCGGTTTCTACGGCTCCTACTTCCTCCCCGCAGCATTCCTCCTTTACCATCGCTGTAAAGGGCACATTCTCCCTGCAGGCAGCGACGCCTCCCTTCAATCTCAGGCATGGAAGGAAGATTCCCCCTCCTCGGACGACAATTCCCATGGTATCGCACAAATACCACTCATCTGGGGACCCTGGCATCTTCCCGGGATTTTGGGGATTGTTAATAATGCGTATGCATGCGTGTATATGATTTTTGTGATTTTCTGGTCCGTGTGGCCGCCTGCGACGCCGGTGAAGGCTTCTACGATGAATTATTCGGTGGTTGTTACGGGTGGCGTGATGATTTTGAGTGCGGTGTGGTATTATGTGGGTGGGAGGAAGGAGTATAAAGGTCCCTTGATTGATGAGGAGGTTCGAGAGGTTTTGAGGGGAGGGAGTGTTGTTTTGGAAGAGGGAGAGAAGAGTAAGGTATAAGGGAGGGTTGTCTTGATGGCCATGTTGTATGAAATGTCGGACTTGTCTGGCCAGCCATTGCTGAGCGACATTCTCAGCTACAAAGGTGATGAGGATCTTCCCAAGCTCGCTGGAGCCTGGATCGACGAAGTTGGGGGAAGAACCGAGAACTTCTCAGCAAGCATCTCTTTGTGAACCAAAAAATGGATACATATAGGCAGGAAGCATCTCTGTTACCGACACAATCCTCCATCCATCCATCCATCCATCCACCCATCAAACATCAAAAGTGGACCCGACCACCTCCAAACACACCATCCCAAAAAAACCCACTCATGAACGAACAACAATACCACCACCTCCTCATTCTCATATACCTCTACATCAACCAACCCAAAAGTCTTGACCAACAAGACCTTTCCAACCTCAATTCTCTAACATCGAAATTCCTCGCCACAAAAGTGTCCGACAAGGTCAAGAATTTGGGACTAACGATACAAGAAGCAGAGGACCGTGAAGGACTATGTAGATTCGTGATGCAGATTCAGAGGGAGAGGCATGGAATCCAAACTCCAGAGGATCCGTGGGGATCGGAGGCGAAGATTCTGGTAAGGAAGATTGTGGTGGGGAGTGTGTGTGTCGCTTTGATGGGGTTTGCGGTGGGGAATGCGGTGGGGTATTCTTGGGTTTAAAGGAGGAGCGGGGGTGTTTTGATTGTGGGTGTTGGAAGAGATGTGGGGAGTCTTCTTTCTCATCGGCGGATTTCGCGTCTATGCTGATTGTCCCCGGGGAAAATACTTAGCGAGCGAGTCTAGGAAATTTTTCTGTTTTCGGAGTGGAGCGCGCTGTTTTCCTCTCTCGGTTTGGGATATCGCTGTTGTTTATTTGAGGTGCTCGATGGATGAAGGCCGTGAATGTCAATCTACAATTTATGACATGTACGGTTACTACATGTACTTGTCAGCAATGCTGCAGGAAGAGAGCGTAAGAAACGCATTCACGGACCTGATTCCATCCTTCCATTTCAAGTCCACTTCAAACCCATCTTGTGCATCTCAACGGCCAACTGAAAGAGATAATCCAAACTCTCACACTGCGTCTTGGCCTGCGCAACATCCTTTCCCCACACATACAGTCCATGTCTCCTAACCAGCACCGCACACGTCTCCGGCCACTCCTCGATCGCCTTTTCCWACGTCTCCTTCAAATCCTCCTCATGCGCCGTATTCTCAATAATCGGAATTCGCAAAGTATCAAAGTATCCCAAATTGCCCATCTTCCTCCCTCCTTCGGCAATCTCCGAGCTTCCCGTACCACCGCGAGAAATCCCTTTGATCTGTTCGATTTCTTTGATAGCGAAGGAATCCTGGGGACCTTGGAGGCCCGCCTCACAGATCAATGTAACGAGGACCGCCCATTGGGAATGGGTGTGAATGCAGCATGAAGCCCCGCGATGCGTGAAAGCGGCCATGAAGAGAGGCGTGCAGGCCGAGGGTTTGAGATCCTACCTTTGCGCTTCAGCCGCCTACTCATTCCTACCATGGGGATATATATCATGGATATATATCTACCTATGAATATATGTATGAGATGTGATGTTTACCTGTGGACGTCGAATGTACTCTTTAGAAGCATAATCCATGACGAAGATATCGGTGGGTTTCATGAGCTCTTTCTGCACGCCTGAGGGTGCGAGGAAGACGTGTTCGTCCCGTTTGATGGAAATTCCCCCGCCCGTGCCTGTGACCCAGCCATGGCCGTAGAATTGGTAGCAGAGGGTGCAGATGTGGTTGGCTGGGTGGAGGGGATCGGAGGAGGTGACGAGGGCGTCGTTGGAGGATGAAGACGAGGACATGTTGGTGGGTTGGGAGGATGTCCACCTGCTGTTGTCACGGCCGTGAGTTAGATGGAATCCAAATTGCCGGATCGGCGGCTAAATTTGGAAAACGTTATCTTGATCTTCATGTTCAACCTTCTTCTTCCCTGTCATCTCCATTGTTTACTTCCCATCATGTACTTCGTACATCCGCCCTTTTGATCATCTCCGATCCATTCAGCATTGTTTTGTGGACCGCCGACGCRGCAGCGCAAAACCCACAACCGAGACGACTCCCGTCACCACGATGTCACCCAGTGGCGACTTTTTCCTTCCGCGGGCATCTACACAAATCATCGCGTCTGGATAGCACATACACCATGCCTCCCTAGGAGTTAGGAGTTAAGCGGCTGTCTCTGACTGATGATAGATGGCAATGCGGCATCTGGAAGACTTTTTCCAATGGCGCTGCAGACGGATGCTTGCGGAAATCTAGACTTTCTACGTCATGAGTGGATTCCTTTGGTAGGTATATCAGAGACATCTGCAAGGTAAGTTCCTCTGTTCCATTCCACATAGTATCTCTGCATCTTCAAATTTCTGTTCTCGTACATCCWCCACCTTCAAAAGAACAACCCACAATGTCGGAAGAGATCAAATTCGAGGGCTGGTGCGGCCTGGACGCCGACTCCGCAAAGGGAAACATGAAATGGCAAACCTACGAAGCCAAGACATGGGAGGAGACGGACATTGACATTGAAATCTCCCACTGCGGAGTCTGTGGAAGTGATCTCCACACTYTACGCGACGGATGGGGCGAGGTTCCTCGTCCATCGGTCGTCGGACATGAAATCGTCGGCAAGGCCATCCGAGTCGGCAAGAATGTCAAAAAGGGCATCAAGGAAGGTGACCGAGTCGGAGTGGGTGCCCAGGTCAAGGCATGCCTCAAACCCGACTGTGAGATGTGCTCGGCGGGGATTGAGAACCATTGCCAGAATGAGTTTGTCCAAGCGTATGGGATGAAGTATCCGGATGGGAAGATTGCACAGGGTGGATATGCGAAGTACTGGAGAGGGAACAGTCACTTTGTCTTCCCAATTCCCGACGAAATTCCCTCGAGTCAATGTGCGCCCATGTTATGCGGGGGCGTGACGACCTACGCGCCGTTGAAGAGGCATGGCTGCGGACCCGGCAAGAAGGTCGGTGTAGTGGGAATTGGTGGACTCGGTCACTTTGCCCTCTTATGGGCAAAGGCACTCGGAGCCGACAAAGTGGTCGCCATTTCCCGCAGCCGTAGCAAGGAGGAAGACGCACGAAAACTCGGAGCCGACGAATTCATAGCCACGGATGAGGAAGGGTGGGAATCGAAGAACGCCGGCTCGCTGGATATTGTCATCTCGACGGTCTCCTCGCCCAAGATGCCCATGCAGGGCTACCTCGGTCTGATGGCTTTCCGAGGCGTCTTCGTACAGCTAGGACTGCCTGAAGACCCTCTTCCTGCTTTTGCTGCTGCGGCGCTTATTATGAAAGAGGTCAAACTTACTGGCAGCTTGGTCGGTTCTCCCGGCGAAATCGAGGAGATGTTGCAGTTGGCTGCGGAGAAGAAGGTCCAGGCGTGGATTCAGGAGCGGCCGATGAAGGATGCCAACCAGACGCTCAAGGACTYCGAGGCTGGGAAGCCACGGTATAGATATTGTTTGGTCAATTAGATCGGTGGATGGATGGATTCACTGAGGGTTGGCTATTGCTGGGATGGGATGAAGGATGGCGTACCCAGGCGTTTCCTATAAAGATGTACGAAGCGGCAATGATGCAATGTAATGAATCAAAGCAGATGGACCATGAATGCGCTTCGATGACATTTGATACCATCCACAGCTGCCCAACGCATTGAATTTTGCAGGTCGTTGTCATCAATTCGTTGAAACAAGCATGGAAGCTCATGCATGCAAAGTACAGGACGCCAAGCCTGCCATTGTTCCCGTCTATTCTCCAGTCGTTCCGCATGTTACCTGGGATTGGCCTTGGACGGGCATCTTCCATCATCGCAATAATGGAACCCTTGAACTTTCCGCCTCCCACCAAGCATCTCAAACATCGGATGACTCATTTTACCTGATCAAAAATCATAACRAAAAGAGTCGTCCCTGCGTTCCCTCGACGACGCGATCGATGCGGCGCGTGGGAGGACCATGCGGGATTTCTCATCGGCGGGACGGGAGGAATCCACCACACGATGCGAACCACGGCATTGGCAGCGCATAAGGTAGGCGCCAACTCCGTCCGACGCGACGGGTGAAAACGGCACTGTTTCCCATCATCGGCAGCGAAGAAGGATAATATCATCATCCATGGAACATCACGCCACGACTTCTCAAACTCGATGCGCATGAATCAATCTGGCTTCCGTCAACAAAGTCGCTCGCTCGCTCGCTAATCATGAATCGAACCGTGCGCCTCGTCGGTCATTTGTCKACTTCGGCTCTGGAATCTCGACATATCAAGGCCCCTAATCTCTCCCGGGTTAGTCCAGGCACATATTGCCCCCATCTCAGCAAATCACAACAAACAGCCAAGTCTCACCAGTCCGCACGTGGGAAAGGGATTAAGCTTTCCTTCCAGCCCGTTTGTAGAAAGGTTTGTTCGGCGAGTAAGATTACGAATGGCAAGCCGCAACGCCTTCTCAAGCCCCGTCCGCCCCGCTCCAGAGCGACTTCCAGAAATGGGGTTGCAATTTCACGCCCGGGCAGGCACAGGATCATGATTATCGACCAGGGCACACTCTCGGCAAAATCTCCCCTGGACGTTGCATCGAGTATATATGTATCGTGAGCCACCCCAGCTCTCTTCTCTTGAAAGTCACCCACAGAATTTTAATTCCCTCGTTTATATTACTTTTCTGCAGGCTCGCCAGCTTTCTTTGCATCAATACAGATAATCACTCGTTTAGTATCTGTTTGATCAAATTAATCCCAAAATGAAGTCCTTCGCCACCATCATGTTCGCCTCGGGCGCTCTTGCCGCCATGGCACCACCGGCATACGCGCCTGTATGTTTTACATGAAGCTATTCGAGAAGAAGAAGAATCATTACTGATTGTTGATTCGTCAAAAAAGGCCCCAGCTGTTTACCCCAGCGAACACAAGACCCCAGCCGTCTACGCTCCTTACCCTACCGGCGGCCATTCATCCAGCAGCAGCAAGCCCCACGAGTCAGCTCCATACCCCTACTCGAGCAGCAGCGCGAAGGAAACTTCTTCCACCAAGTCGGCTGAGAAGCCCTCTTCCACCTCCACCGAACACGCCCCAGTCTACGTTACCAAGACATATGAGCATGAGACCATGAAGCCCTCTGTTGTCACCACCCACGAAGCCAAGACTTACACGAAAGTTGAGACGGAGGTTCACTCCATTCCTGTCTATGGACATGCTTCCGAGTCTTCCAAGGTCATGGTCCACCCTACCACCTACCCTGCCGAGTCCTCCAAGACGAAGGTTGTGGTTCACCCTACTACCTACCCTGCGGAATCCTCCAAGACGGAGGTCATGGTCCACCCTACCACCTACCCAGCAGAGTCTTCCAAGACGGAGGTCATGGTCCACCCCACCACCTACCCAGCACAGTCCTCCAACACCGAGACCGCCACGGAGCACGTTTACCTCACTGTCTCCGCACCAGCAGTGTGCGTCCCAGTTCCCGAGCAAACCGTCACCGTGACCGAATCGATCAAGATCACCATCACGGCACCCGCATCCAACGGCCCCACCGCACCTGTCTACAACATGCCCACCGCACCCGCATACTCCAAGCCTTCCTCTCCAGTAGCAGGCGGTAACATGCYTTCCGCCCCAGCATACTCCAAGCCTTCTTCTCCCGTCGCAGGCGGCAACATGCCTTCGGCTCCAGTCTACAACTCGCCATCTTCCCCCGTCGAGGCTCCTAAGCAGACCGTCGTCGTCACTCCCATCCAATACACCCCTGCTCCTACCGGCAGCTACGTTCCCGTCTCCCCAATGTCTCCCCCAACCTACAACAACGCCCCACCGGCCGCCAACGGCACCGCTAGCAACTCTCCCATGAAGCCTACATACTCTGCTCCGGCACAGTACACTGGTGCGGGTGTCAAGACCGCTGGTGCTGGATTCGGAGCTCTTGCCATGGCTTTCTTCGCTCTTGCTTTGTAGATGATGATGGAGATGGAGATGGAGATGGAGATTTGTTCCTGATTGATGATGACGTTTTGTGTTGATTGGATCTGGTGAGGATTTGAATCTAATTACTTTAAAATTAGATGATGTTTCGAACCCATCACAAGATACTTTTTTCTACCCTGCTTGCGTGTGCATTGGGAATTTAGCGATTGCGTTTTTTTTTTCTCTTCTGATGGAATAGCTTGCTTGGGGCATGCTTGGATGTGAATGTGTTGTTCCATACGCAGTGTATATTGTTACCTTATTGAGATGGATTTCAGGAGTGATGCAAGGAATGCACAACGAATAACTACCTAGTGATTCACTTTTGCCTTTGAAACGTGGATCGTCTGGGTGAATTGTACACATTGTGAAGATTCTTTCTGTCCATCGACGAGGTCAGAAAGTGGTGGAGGACTCAAGAGTGAACATGCTCAAATCTGTCCTCATGTGATCCATTTAGGCAGCCGTGCGGACCGCCGACCGCCGATCGCGAAAGCATAAACTTTGCGGATCAACGATTAGCTCAGTTTACATCGCGTTCCTCCCTTGACAACGCCGCAAACATCCACCGTTCATTCCACCGCACATCACTCCTTCCGCTCACCGCCAGCGATGGAAGCGCACCCCAAGCACTCGCGCCGCCACGTCCGCTGAAGAGGGAATAAATCCAACGAAAATGCCGCGTCTCRTCCGCAAAACGCCTTTGATTGAGCGCATCAAAGCCTGGCTCGATCCCTACGATTTCCTACTCTGGATTGCGGAGGAAATCAATGATGATGCATATGATGAGTGGCTGAAACTGTGGGCAACACCGATTGGATTGGGGTTGAATGTGATTTTCATCCTCGCGCGGGGATCCAGTGTGTCGGGTAGAGGAAGGGGTGGTGGGGATGATGTCTTTGGGGATGGCGGAGATATGGGCAGTGGCTGGTTGGCTTGGGTGGTGAGTGACAAGGACATGAATTGGCATGTGAGCATCCCCCACTGACTTTACTTGATAGTGTTCCTTTGCCATTCAACTCCTCACCCTCGTGTGTCTCGTCAACACTCTCTACGTCTTCTTTCGCCTGCGAAGCTATCGTCTGTTCGAGCAACCGGTAGACATTCCCCCGGGAACCCGCTCGGCGCATCGAGTGCGGGTGGATAGCTCGCCTGCTTCCTCGTCGCCGCTGCGATATCTCCACAATGTCATCACCTCCGCCACCGCATCCGCCCGCGCCTACCCCGATGCGGAGAGGGAGGTGTGGGAGATTAATGTGTGGGATCCCAAGCCCTTCAACCTCTCCATCTTCACCCTCTTCTCGCCTGGACATGTGCTGGTCTACTGCCTCCTCTTACCTCCAACCAAGATGGATCAAAGACCTTCCGTCACCGTCGCCACCGCCATTGCCTTTGCGGCACTGCTCACTCTTCAACTGTGGYTGTTACAATCATCCTTTTCCCAGCAGTCCAAAGACACGGCTCTGGTGCATGGAGAAGTCATGAACGAGTACGATACCAAATACGTCCGACCCAATCTCAACCACCCGGTTCGCGATGTTGGAATCCAGACTCGCGAGAGTGCCATGACTCCCCGCGGTACCAAGACGAGAGAAGTCGACATTTACACCCCGACCACCATCATCAAACGCGCTTTCAAGACCAACCCCAACACCAACTATGCAAGCCAATACGATCCGGATAACCTCGCATCGAAGCCATCGAGGCCATCATCGWCAAGACGAGAATCAAGTTTTCCAGGACCATCAGGTTTCACGCCTGAGCCCACCTTTGCAGACACTCCTTCAAAAGGCTACACGAATGCCTACACGCAGTCTGCACTTTCCCGACCCGTCACTACGGACCTGACATCTCCCCTCAAATCCCATCACGAGAGATTACGCGAACGTAGTCCGACGAAAGGCGATGGGGGAAGTTTGGGCGTGTATTCCCACGCCGCCAGTCCGTTGCGAAAGGTTGCTAGCAGCAATCAACTTTTGCGAGGACGTGAGTCACGGGGAGGAGGAGCATCGGGGTTAGGGACGCCTTTGAAGAGGACCGGTACGTCTGGAATCATACCTCTGGAAGACGCGCGGCGAAGGAGGGAGACTGGTAGATTTTAGTCGTCTTGTAATTTATTCCGATGCATTACGTCATAAACATCAGCACTTCCAATTGACTGCATGTTCCTTTCAATCTCACAAACATCCCATCAAAACACATCACCACGCCAATCCATCGCAACACCACCCCAGACCAACCCAACAAAAAAAAGAAAACCCCAGCAATAAATCAAACATGCCCCTCCGCACCCTAACCCCCGCAGCAGCAACATCCCTCGACGCCGAACTCCTCTCCAAAGGCTCCTTCTCCCTCGACCAATTAATGGAACTAGCAGGCCTAAGCATCGCCCAAGCCCTCTTCAAATTCTCCCCACCAACAACCACTCCCAACAACACCCGCCGCAGTAAAGTCTTGATAGCTTGCGGACCGGGAAATAATGGCGGGGACGGATTAGTAGCCGCCCGACATCTATTTCTTTTCGGCGGTTATGAGCCTGTTATTTGGTATCCGAAAGCCGGGAAATCGGAATTATTCTCAAGGTTAAGGGCACAAGTTGAGAATTTGGGGATGAAAGTTCTTGAAGGGAAAGAAGAAGGGGTGGAGGAAGTAGAGAAAGCAGATGTGATTCTCGATGCGATTTTTGGATTTTCTTTCAAGGGGAATGTTAGGGAGCCTTTTGTGGGGATTATTGAGGCGCTTGCGAGGACGGAGAAGATGGTTCTTGCGGTGGATGTTCCTAGTGGGTGGGATGTGGAAATGGGTCCTCCTAGTGAGGGATGTGGGAAGGGGTATATGCCTTCTGCGTTGATTAGTTTGACGGCGCCGAAGCCGCTTGTGAGGTTTTTTACGGGGAGGCATTTTATTGGGGGGAGGTTTGTGGGGAGGGAGATGGCGGGGAGGTATGGGTTTGATGTTCCTGAGTTTGAGGGGGCGGAGCAGGTTGTTGAGGTTGAGAATGAGAATTTCAAGGGTGGGAGGTTGTGAGGTTGTGGGGGGTTTGAGATGATTGTGGAAGATATGTCTGTCTTCATCATTCTTATGTCTCGGTTTGGAGGACTTCGGGCTCGGGTTGTGCGCCATCCCTGATCTGCTCCTCAGTCTCGGTAGTAACGGGTGGATCAATCACAATGACATCCTCTTCATCCCGTTCCGCCCACCCATACTCATCAACACCAACATCCTCATCCTCCTCCGAATCCGCAATCTCATCATAGACCCTCTTCCTCACAACAGCTTTCGACACCGGCGCCCTGACAGCCAGTTCGGCAACAACATCCTGCGCACCACCATCCCCGCCACCCGCAGAAGAACTCGTCGTCAAATCCACCACACTCTGCCTTAGAACCCCATCCCTCCCAATCTCAAACCCAATAACATTCCTAACATCACMGGTAGGATCCAAAGGCATCAAATTCCTCCCATTGACTTTCTGAATCCCCACAAACCTCGCCCCGCCGAAATCTCGAAAGACCACCATACGCGTATGAATTCCCGCTTCCCATTCCGAACCTCCCACTCCCGGCCCAATCGCCGCTCCCGCTCCCCCACTATCAGGGCGCATTTTGGAATTGCAGCCTGTAGTTACCAGGACGGCGAGATTGTGTAGGACGGCGAGTTTATTGAGGGAGGCAATGAGGGAGCCAAGGATGGAGTAGCGGCGATTGGAAGCCCATTTCTGGGCTTCGGAGCGCGTGCTGGTGTAGCCTGTACGGGGGAAATCTAGGTCGAGGAGGGTGTTGAGGTTGTCGAGRATTAAGAGGGATGTTCCTGGAGGAGGGAAGTTTGGGGGTGGGTGTGTGATTTTGGCGAGGAGATGGGAGAGGGTTGGCATGGCGAGGTAGTGGAATTTATTGAAGAGAGCTTCGTCGTCCGTGGGAAGGCCAGATTCCGAGGCTTCATCGGAGGAGGAGGGCAGAAGCTTCAATTTCGACGCACTTAGCAATGTCGCGCAGTCTGTGTGTTGGAAAGGTCAAATTAGTTTTCCATGCTGTGCCATGTCATCAATTAAAAGATGGGAATTCGTACCAATCCAAACCACCTTCCCATCACCTCGAATCGCCTCACAAGCCGTCTGAAATCTAAAATCCCGCACCATTTCATTAGCCACATGTGCCTCCATCAGATTTCACAGGGTAAGTAGGGATTTCCTCACGCAATCGCAGTCTTGCCAGCCCCCGGACTCCCCCAAATCTCACCAACTTTCCCCCTCTCCAAACCCGATGTGGTTTGCAAATGAAGACTCGTATCATCATTGCCCCCCGTCAAACCCCGATCCAGCGATTCCAAACCCGTGGAAATGAAAATCTCAGAGCCATTTTTCCGCTCGAGTTCTTGCAGGGCGGAGGCGGCGGATCTGGTGGGGAGGCGATCTATTATTCCCTCTCAATTAATCAATGGCTGGTAAGGTATTGGATGGACATTCTTGGAAGGGTACGTACGGGAGGAAGTTGCTTTTCCTGCAGTACCTGATGGTGGAGACGAGGAGATTGTGATGGTGGGCGGAATGGCCATTGTTGCCGAGTTGAGTGGGGGGAGGAGAGGCAGGCTACATGGATGTTGTTTGTCTGTTGATGTTTACATGTAGTTGTGTTGATCCTCCATGAAAGGAAGACGCGACGACGTCAGACGTGGGGAGGAGTAAGCGCGAGGGTTTCGTGATGTGAATTTGGAGGGTGACTAAGCTTAAGGCTAGTTCACAGGTTGTTCTACCAGGTACTTTACGTTTGTACATATTTCTTTTTACACACGTGGGAAAGAACTTGGCAAATACTGAGATACTGAGATGTTGGGATGCTCAGATACTAATAAGATACTACAATACTGAAGTACTAAGATACTAGGAATCACACAAAGTTCTCCCCTCCCAGACGACTAGAAATAACTCCAGAAACCTCCCCATCAAAAACTCCAAGCTGCGCCTCCACAACAGCAAACGACAAAAAGGTAGAACTCCCACTGCATAAAAGACGCTAGTAATCCCCAGCAACAACGACCTCCTCCCCCTTCATAGKATCAAGCTGCAAATCGCTTAGCAAAGCATACCACTCCCCCCTCGGCATTTCCTGACAACAATATCGCACCGTACTCTCATCCTCCCAACTTTTCCCCCCGCTTCGACGACCATAAGCCGAGAGAATAGCAATTCCCCATTTAGGAGTGACGGCCACRACGAACGAATCGTATCCGATTTGGATCGAGTAGCGCTGGAGATTAGGCATCACCTCTACCGTTTCCACCAGAGCGTTGAAGATGGAATGTAGGGCCTTTTCTGAGGGACTTTGTAATGGGGAAGGGAGAGCCCATCGGATCGAGAGGGTTTGGATTTCCGAGGATGCTTGGAGGCGGGTGAGGAGTTGGTTGAACCACTGGGCGCTTTTGATACTCGCGTTGGCTGAGTGGGTATCTCCATTGCCCCACCACATTTCGGGTTCGAGGATTAGGGTCAAYTTTAGAGAGAGGTGTCTGCCTGAGAAGATGGGAGTCCTGGGGAAAGCGACGTCTAGTGTTGGGCATGCTGAGGGTGCSGCTCCAGAGGATGTATCGCTCGAGATTGTTACCGGGATGTTGAGGATGAATGAGGCGTGCTTGCGGAATTCTTCGGAGCATTCTCTGCGGATGAGTTTGCTTACGAATAAAATCGGGGGAGTCTTCATTTCGCCCGTGGACATTGCCACTTTCTTGAGGATTGTATCGACGGCAAGTAGTTTGTAGATCTCGCATCGGATTTCGGTAGGGAGTGTGAGGAAGGGACTTTTGTTGGTAGACAGAGATTTGTCATTCGAGACGGACTCATCATTCAAGACGGACTCATCATCCAAGACAGATCCATCGTCCAAGACAGACTTGTCGTTGAGGAGAGACTCTTCCTCGGAGACTGACTTGTTGTTAGGACTTTCTTGGCTTTGGATCTCAGGAGGGAGCGTGAATCGGGGAATCTTGTCGATATGTGACGACGCGTCTTCAGGAAGAGACTTGTTGTTGGAAGCTCCAAAATCCAGCTGACTTTACTTCCGGTTCTCCATCCTGGCAAGTAGTGCGTGAGAGAGTAACTGGGTGTAATGTCTGTTGTGTAAAGAGTGCTGTGTTGGTGATGTTTGTGAAATTTGCGACAAAAGTGCAAAAAGATTGTGTGGAACGGAGAAAGATGGAAGAAGGTGTGTGGGAATATAAGTCCAGGATTGTTGACTCTTTGGTGGTTCCTTCTCCAGTCCGACCGGCGGCTGCGTGGAAAACTTTCCCAGTCCACCTCAGTTGCTTAAAGGTACCAACCAGATCGACCAGATTCCGTTGAGTGGGAACGCAGGAGATTATGGCAAGAAGTTTCCATTACGACCATCCATCCGGTGGCTTCCGACAATCTGCGGAATCTTCACACGGGAGATATGCAGATGGCTCTCATGTTGGTTGTTCAATCACCGAACATGGAATGCATGCTTGGTTATCATGAGTGCCTCTTTTGCAATCAATCAATCCTGGCAGGTATAATGCCCACTCTTGGCCGCAGTCGCGCAATCGATATGCAACTCTGGTCCGCTTCCACATGTTCAGTACCAGAAGCTGACACATCTTGGCAGTTCCATGTACACGAGATGCTGAACCAAACGTGGTCCTGATGTGCCGCACTGTTGACATGGTCACTTCTTCCTTTCAAGAAGCTACTCTACCCTTCATAGCAGGTTCGGCCTGATCAGTGGTACACCGGAAGCCAGCATGGTATGTTCCAATATCAGCATCGACAACTCCACCGGCAGCCGTTTCTTCTGGAGGGCAATTTGGCAGAGGAAGCGGGCCTCATTCACCGCCAATTGATAGATGAGCATTAACAGACCTCGGTGTTTGAGTGCGCAGACGTGGATTCGCTCGAACAAATMCCAGGTCTGCCAGTCGGCCCATAATTCACGCCAAGCACGGGAAAAATCCCAGAATTGGATATGTGGTTCTGTGCGACCTTGTCKCAACGAGGTCCAGATGCAATGGGTGAGATGGTTTTGATGGCTGAGATGATCTATACACGTCCAACGTTGGGTCGGCCGTCGCAGCATCGTTGTCTTGAGCAAGATTGCGAAATGCATCGTGTGATGGAAGTCCGTCGTCGAGGAGATGGCTTTTAACAAGAGCAAGAGCTTTTGAGCGTACGTGTGGCATGATTTCTCGTCTGCTGGTCGATTGTGCTCGACTGTTGCTGGGAGGGTGGTTTGCAGATGACTGACGAAATGCCTACAATTCCAGATATCGAACCAAGGAGTCTCAAGCGTGCAAGGCCCAAAGGCTATCGAAAGGTCTTCCAACGTGTACGCTTTCTCGTGCATCAGGTAAGTGATATTGAGGTGGATGTCTTCCATGTCTACTCACCAGTCATGTCAWCCACACCCGAATACCAATCATACCACACATTTTGCGACACACATTGGCTAAACTTGGCAACCTCGAGATCCAGTTCGGTCATCTGCTCGTCTAGACGTCGTGCGAGCACATCCACCTTCTTCTTCGCCTTGAAAACCTGCAAAGCACTGGTCCAGGGTGCGCGACAGTATGCAGCCGATCCCAGAAAATCGACATGCATATCGTACTTGTCACGTATCCGGACCATCTTCTCATGCAAGTCCATGTAGTTGACATTGTCGGGCATCTTTGGAGGCTTCCGCCCTTTGTACCCATGATCGTCTTCCACTCCCTGGTCGTCGATCTCTTCTTCACCATCGACATGGTTGACATGACCCAGGTAATCGGGACCCTCGAGCGCATCGTCGACGTGGTCGGAGGAGGCTTCACCACAACTGGCCTTTGCCGAAGTCGCAGCGATGTACTCCGGGGGGTAATCGGCCACGACTTGAACGTGTATGGACAGCATGTCGATGGTGGTGGTGATGCTGGTGGTGACGGATCATTCATTCACTCATTCATTACATGGCGCACCTGGCCTCACCGCGATATGCGAAGTACATCTTCTAATCCTTCGCCTACGACTCGCATGCATGCACATGTCCTGCTGAGCCTGTTCTCAAAGTCTCCACTTAAGAACTGAGCATGTATGCCTGAGGCTCAAGTAGCTACGTAACTTAGGCAGGACTATATAGCCGAGGAATTTTCCCTTAAGTAAATTTAATTAGAGAGTTCATCTATTTTAGAACATCTAGTAGCTAAGAGCTTAAGTCTAGCTCCTTAGCTAGACCTATAGTCTACCTCGCCTACTTAGGGCTAGTAGGCTAGCTAGTTCGTTCCGTTGCCCTATATAAGAYRATTTAGAAAGAAGCCTACTAGCTTAAGAACACGYATCTTARAYATTAATATAGCCCTTAGATTAAAGCGACGAGAACTCTTCYRCTAGACTRCCCTAGGAGTTAGCTTAACGCTAGCGTTACGCTATATACTTCCGTAGCTAGGTAAAAACTCTAACTTAGACCGTAYACCTAAGCTAGAGCCCTYRGAAGCGCTTTATAACCGTCCTCGGAGCCGTAGTAGCYCGCYCTACCTTATCGAGTAAGGGCTATACTAAGAAAGTCGCYRATATAGCGCTTAGATACGCTATATCCYRTAAGAATCCCTCTTAAGYAYATACTACTATAGCTAAGCTAGCGCTAATCGCCTTAGCTTAGCTAAGYATYCTAGAWATATAATATACTATATYTTAGATAACTATAAYAGGCACTTAATAYATTACGCACGGTAACCTATTTCCTTCCGCCCTACTTAAAGGTGTCTTAGTAATTCGCCGCTATAGCGCTTAAGAAAGACTCTACACTTAAACGAAGTAGGATGCTTTAATTTAAAAGGAAGAGTTATAACCTTTCTCTCTTAAAGTACTATACTATCCTACCTCTATAATACTATCTACCTTTAACCGACTAAGCTATTATAGTAATAGCTAACCTATCTAAGGTAAGAGACGAGGAARGCTCTCCTCGCCCTTAAGATGCCTCTTAGGCCGAGTAAGCCCCTCYRCTTATCGTYRTAGGACCCTCGAAGCCTACGCGACGCTCGCTTAAGCGCGAGTCGTACGACTTCTACTCCTTAGCCGATATAATCGAYAACCTTTAGTTATACTCCTATATCTAAAACCCTCCTTAGGGAGAATAACTTAARGCTATRCTAGAGGCCTTAGATATAGAAGACGCTACCTTTAGGACCTACTTAAGAGCCGTYGCCGCTAGGCTTTAAGAACTTAAAGCCGAAAACGAGCGACTACGCGAACACGATGCACTTAACTAGRGCACTACTATCCTACGCGGACTAAGCGACCTARGGTTAGTACGGTTCCGTCTTAACGACCCTCCCGCTACTATCTAAGCTAATAGAGGTAATAGGGGTAGTTAAGTACTACTAACCGCTCCGGGATTCCCTAGAGACAGCTCTAATTTAAGCGGATTAGATAATAACGACGGCCTATTAAGGGACCGTCGCTATAGAGGTTCTAAACCCTCTAAGAGAGCCCCTCGTATTAAGGGGACTATTAGYATCCTAGCTAACTACTATAGGGATGTTAAGGATAATRTAGCTACTCTCTAGGTTTAGGAGCTTAACCGCTACTTAAATAATATAATTACTCTTAACTAGAGGTTTAGACCTATAGAAGAGGCGCTTATTAGCCTTATCGGGGGCTTAATAAAGAAGAATGYATTATCCTAGTAGGAAGATTAGGAAACTAAGTTTAAGCCTCTTATCTACTAAGGAAGCTATACCTTAGAGATAATGCTTAACGGTCTCTAAAGCTACTTCTAGGATTACTACTACTAAGAGAAGCTATAGAAGGAATTCCGCCGCTTTAAGCAGCTAGGGAGTRTTAACTCCTTCTACTACAAGTTAATAATAGCTTCTAGCCTTCTCTAGCCTAAGCCGGATAATCTTACTATCTATTAAGCCTTTTACGATAGCTTAAAGCTTAAGATCCGTGTAGAACTTATTCGCCTTAGCTTAACTCCTTAGAAGTCTATCTTAAAGCCTATCGTAGACTAAGCCTAGCGAACTAATATAGCTAATATAGAGATTACGGAATAACG